CCTGTGTGAATTTTGGTCTTCAGATACTGGAAGTGCAACCGTAGATTTAGCAATTTTAGGAAGTAATGAGTACCCTTCTCGGCCCTGTGCTGTGGAAACAGGGACTAAGCACCGAGGATTTTGAAGGTAGGGTGGCTATGAAGATCCATCTAAGTAGCTAAGACTTGTTCAGCTGAGGCTGAATGTGGAATTGCCCCCTGAGAGGATTACTGTCTTAATTTTTCTCCTGTTCAGCGTTCCCTGCTTTGTACAGTATCTGTATTTCTATTTTTTCCGGTCTGAAGGTAATTTAAATTGGGCTTCTTGCAACGGTAGATGAAATAAAATGAGTGGTGTAGGAAAGGCCTGAAAGGTAGCAAATTTCCTGAGCACAACAGCATTGGCTCAAATCACACCTGGTGATGGGTTCGTGTGACGTGTGGTAAGTCAAGTTTCCCTTGCTGACAGATCAGTGTCTTTAGAAAAATCTCTGAAAATCCGGTAAACCTATTTCTGGTGCATTATTGTCTGATGCCAGAACTCTGTAATTTTTTTTTTTTAACTTTTGAAAGAACACCAATGAGTTTTCTCCGTCATTCAGTCATTTATTTAAACCTGGAACAGGCCTGTACGTCCTTGTGCAAATGAGGAGCAGCTCTCAGCTAATTAGCATTCCCTGAGCCTCCCTGGATTATTATTAGCAAGTGCAACTTTCTCCCCTTGAATGTTTTACAGAGCTTTTGTGAGCTTTTTACATCAGCTAGCTTGTCCTTTCAATTTTCTATTATACCTTTAGTAATTGCTTTCTGTCTGTAGTTGATATGTTGTTGCTTTACTCCAGTAACTTCCATTATCACTTTTAACTGTTTGTGATTACTGGGGTCAACACGATTGCGTTATTTACTCTCTTTGCTTCAAATATCACTTTTTGCCTTGCTCTCCCCTTCCTCTCCCACTGTCTTTCTGGGAATATTTGAGCTTGGTAACGTGATGCTGTCTGAAGTCTTATTTGTTACCCTCGCGGCCTCAGACCATGATTACTTCAAGCCCAGTGATGGATTATCACGAAGCACTGAGCACCCACCAGACCATTACTGAATTTATCATATCTAAGAGCTTAGTAAACAGTGAGAGATAAACCTGTTTTTTTACTGCCTGTGGAAGTCAGCAGGTTGATTCCTTCTTTAATTCTCATTTTTGTCGATACTAGAATAATTAAATCCCCATCACAGACTCTGGTTTCTTCACAGGTCTCATCACACTGAGTCTAGGTACTCTTTTTTCATTATTATTAAAACATAGCGTTGTGGTTAACCATCCACAGATTCCCCCTCCAGGCCTTCCTAATCTCAGGGAAGAAAGAGACAAACAGGAGCTTAAGTAAAACACGTGAAAAGGAACAATTTTGTCTTTATGGCCCCTCGTGTTTGCTTCATCTAAGTGTTTTCTGCAGCAGTTGCTGGGCAGCAGTTCATGTGCTCCATTCTGTGCCGAGGGCTTGCTCTTTCCCGGATGAGGGGATGGGATGCTGCCGATGCTGCGCAGGCCCTGCGCTCCCCATTCCTCACCACATGTGATGTGCGGCAGACGTGGAGGATTTTTCTACTCAAGCACTCAGTGTGCATCTCCACGCGTGGGGCCCGGGCTGTGTGTCTTCTGCCACGCAGAGTTTATCCAGCACCTGTGGTTCTCAGCCCATCTAAAGCCAGAGAGGTGAAGCCCTTCGTATGCAGACAGAAAAATTAATTTTGTTTTAATAAGCATGGAAATTGGATGCCAATTTGCTTATGCATTTAAAATCAGAAATGGTGTTTCCCTTCTGTTCCGCACTCCAGCTGTAGGTACTGTTGCCCTTGGGGAGGCTTTGGTGCGATTGCGGAGTACAAGGGCAAGGGGCTCTGTCATTCTTTCTGGGATAAGGGAAGGAACAACCAACTTCCGCTAGGAAGTGTCGGCTTTGAAACAAGCTCTGTAAGGACTGTAAGCTTGTCTCGAGGGCTCACACGGCTGTGTGCGCTCACACAAAGTGCAGCCCAGCAGCGACCTCTCAAGTCATAGAACCATAGGATGGTTTGGGTTGGAAGGGACCTTAAAGATCATCTAGTTCCAACCCCCCTGCCATGGGCAGGGACACCTTCCACTAGACCAGGTTGCTCTAAGCCTCATCCAGCCTGGCCTTGGACACTTCCA